AACCCGAGACCCCAGGATTACAAGGCCAGCGTTCTAACCGCTAGACCACCGAGGCGATCCTTGTTGAATTTAATGGCAAATTATTTACACAAGAAAAAGTTAAGCCTTAAATGTGGACGATTTCACGATCAACCGCAAGCATGGGTGAAGATTGTTGAATTTATGCCATCTCCTTTACAGGAGGTTGGCGACATATTATGAACAGGATCCTTCCATCCTTTTCTCGGACTGGGACCTGTTCATATGTTTTTTAGGCAGGTGATACAGAAGTGGTTTGCCATTGCCTTCTTCTGTGTGTGAATGGAGTAATTGTTGGGATGCCACGGAGAAACCGGGGAAGCCCCCGAAGGAAAACTCCGTGTTGCCTAGACCACGGCCTTGCCCAACACAAGTTATAAATTCGGGCACCGCCGGGAATCGAACCCGGGACCCCAGGATTACAAGGCCAGCGTTCTAACCGCTAGACCACCGAGGCGATCCTTGTTGAATTTAATGGCAAATTATTTACACAAGAAAAAGTTAAGACGAATTACAGATTACTCACCCTGTCTTTGCGAAGTTGGCCCAGTAGCGCATCATCCGCTTGCTAAGTTCCACCTCGTACGGCTGGTAGTTCTTGGTCGGGTTCAACGGTTCCCCGAACACGTAGCTGATCTCATCTCCGTGCATGACGCCAGTCCAGGATGGCCACGGGTTGGCCACCGAGCGGTGTTTAAAATAATACATGTACACATTGTTACCAGTCTCAGCGTAACGGTGCGCGAATTCATTCACGTTGCACGTAAATTGATAATCGCCCACCATTTTATCCAGAGCATCACGGTTGCTGTTCGGATCGTCGGGGTTCAACCAGTCAGTGTACTCGAAGACAATCGCCTGTCGCGCTATGTTGCTGACGTAGGGATTAAGTTCCCGGACCGACTGCAAGAAGTCTTCCCGATTAATACGAATATCTTCCTCCTTTCGAAAGAGTTCTGTTAAGTAGTATATGATGAAGTAGTAACCCTCTTCTGTGTTACTACCCATTAGAATGTTGGTCTTCTTGAAGTTTTTCTCCGCTAGTGATCTCTGAGGTGATACATCGAGAATCGCCCCATCGATTACCGGCACAAACGGGAATTCACATATCCCAAGCGTGCCCCATTCGTTGCTGACAAGTTCAGTAGCGTTCTTGTTCCTAAGACAATCGATAACAGCACGTATATCTGACCGGCTGCAAGGGCATCCAACAGCTTCAGCTAGACGCAAACCACGGAGGATGCTCTCCTCGCGACTGATAATAGCCCAAGGTGCGGTAGGAGATCCAGATTCCATGATCGCCTGACTGAAGAGGTTCATACTCAGCGGTGACAGTAAGTGCAAGCTAACAGACACGGCTCCAGCAGATTCACCGAAGAGCGTTACGTTATTGGGGTTCCCACCGAAGGCTTGGATGTTATCGTGCACCCATTGTAGTGCCATATACTGATCGAAAAGGCCGGCGTTTCCGGGGACATCGCTCGTACCGAAGAAAAGAAATCCAAGCGACGCGACTCTGTACTGCATAGAGACGATGATGACGTTTTCTTCGGACACCAATATTTTGTGATCGTAGACGTCCAGAGTGGCTGAACCCGAGTAGAATCCTCCACCGAAGATCCAAACCATGACGGCGGCGTTGCGAGGACGAGGTTTTGGAACGACCACGTTGACGTACAGGCAATCTTCCGACAGAGGGGTGTTGGGGTTCCACATTAGGGAACCAGTGAAGTTTCCAAAAACTGTATCGATGATTTGGACGCAGCTGTTCGGCATTTTTGTGGCGTTGTAAATTTCTCCGTTCTGGCCCCAAGATTCAGCTGGATGAGGGTGACGGAAACGTAGTGGTCCTATCGAAAACAAAGTTTCTTATCAGTTTTGCTTTGTTATCTCACTTTTGGTTGTGAAATTTCGTTAGATATGAATTGTTTAAATTAAGTTATATTATCGTAACTAACTACTAATACCATGGGCAAGAATCATTTATAAAACACTGACTGCTGTTTAACTGACCTATAAATCCCTTCTCCATTGATGGATCCTGAAGATTCATCACCGCCACCGGACCTTTTATTAGTCATTTTAATCCAACCTACATCCTATATCCTTCAGATTACTTGACCGCCTTATGGCCTCCCCGCTTAGAATCTCCCGCTAAAATGTTGTATACATTCATTATCTCACTCGCATGTCCCACATGTCCGAATCACCTCAGTCTCTTTCATTTGATCACCCTAATTATTTTAAGTTTCGACAATTCACAAAGAATTGAACTTATCAAATCTAGTGCACAATACCATGACATACATCCTGCTTTTTTGCAAGACAATTAAATTTAATTATTTATTAAGACAGCAGACAATCTTATTGCTCGCATAAAGAATGTACTTTTTTATGAAACCGAAATGTCACCGAAATATCCTGACATCAGAACCTACATTTATAAACTTAAATGCATTTAATTTTACACTAACATGTGTGTGGGGGGAGGGGGGGCGCACTTAAAAGCCAACGACATGTAGCATCCCTAAAACGGATTAATAAGTAAGAATGTAAAAAGTAAATAATATCTGTAAATTGAAAAAGTTGGCAGAGCAGAGATTATTAATTGCTACTATAACATTAAGTGACCAGTATGGTTCATCGAAATAGTTCGTTATATAAAGATATTACCTTTTTAAAACATATATATTCCACCTCCGCTATATCTTGTGAGTGTGGGGCAATATTTCTCATTCATTAGAGTTTAGTTTCTTAAGAGATAGAATAAAATAAAATATTTCTGTTCCGAATGATATAATGCACTTTCTTCAAACATATAGTTTTATAATTTCAATAGAATAATGACTATTATTAATGTTTTATCCAAGTTAAACGTCATACTAGAAAGCGATATTTACAATAATGAAATATGCTGAGTAAACTCTTTCGTGTTTGCACTTTTAATTTGATCAATAAGATATAACGAAGAGCTAAATGAATCTTCTACTATGCTGTAACTCACCAATAGGTTTCTGGGCGTAAGGAATTCCCAACCAGGCGTCGACCAACTTTCCGGTTGCTGCAGTCAACGTGACGCCCCGGACTTTTCCTTTCTTTGTCTCAATAATGAGAGGGTCTTCCTGGGGTTGATGACCACTGCCTTCTTCACTTATTCTTGATTCGTGAGCCAGATCCAAAGGATCACCACCATGTGCAATCCGATCCCAGTCTATCGAATGTCTACTTCCAAATTCAACAGGGGGATCCCTCTTGTCGTCGTCGATAGGTTTACTGTGACCTACCATGTTAGGATCTCTCCCGCCATTACCATAATGTGAGTGTGCATGATCCTTTGTTACATGTTCCCACAGGCGAATGTCTGCGTCCCCACTACCAACGAGATCCCCGACATCCATGTTTTCAACGCGTCCTTTAGCATCACCGTGTGCCATACCGCGATTCATTCCGGAATCACCACGCGTTTCCGTCTCATCCGGCCCCACATACAAAGTATCACTGTTGTCTGATTCTTGGCGTGTTTTTATGTCATCACTCAACAGATCATCTTCTCGGTTCACCAACGATTCACCACCTCGATTGTTATCACTATGACTCACCAAATCATCACGTCCTGGACCTACAAATAAATAATCATCTAGATTCGTATTGAAACTCTTTGTGTGGCTGTTGCGACCAGCGAGAACATCGACACTTCCCAACCGATCGCCACTCTGACTTCTAGGATCTTCTATTGCCATGCTGAGTCTCATGCTGTTATCGCCCATGTAGTCCGGTGATTCGGAGTTGCCATGGTGTCTGCCACGGTGGGATTGCTGCTGTGGTGCGCATAGGGCCACGTAACTACTGCTGACCAATAGCAGCAGCAGAAGCAGCAGGATGTGTGGTAGTTGCCGGAAGATGTTACCCAGGGTTGGGTGGTGTAGGTAGAGGTGATGCCGTGGTGGCGCCATCCTCGTGCAAAGAATCTGAAGAATAAAATAATACGTATTACAAACTCATTTCGTAAGATAGTGTAATTGCGTCATCATAATACGTATTACAAACTCATTTCGGTTAAAAGTGGTTGGTCAGAAAGAAGCAAGTTACACATAAAAAAATCTTACATCTTCTCATACTGAGTTTTTGTTCTTGAGAGTTTCTTCAGTCAGCAGGCCTAATTTCCATGACAATTTACTTTTATTGTTATAAATCAACAAATAGTTTTAACTCATTATAGACTGCAGATCTTCATAGGCTTAATATTATGATTACTAATATGGTCTACCTCATACTTTTCCGATTATAGGCTACGTGCAAAATATATTTAATAATCCGAAACGCATATCGAATGCGAGCTCTTATCCAATTAAGGACACGTAAAAGCACGTCTATTGCTTCAATATTTAATGCGAGCTCTTATCCCCTTAAGGACATGTAAAAGCACGTCTATTGCTTCAATATTTGTATTCGAAATACAATTATGCTGTTGTGCAGTATTTATCTGCCACCTAAATCGAAGTCTTCTTGAAACTTTCAGGCAGCGGACGTAAGGTACCAAGTACCCCCTATTTATCTGCAACCAGCCGAACACAGAACACTCATACAACACTACTACAGCCTACAGCTAAATAAATACGATGTAAGTATAAAAGTGCATGAGTTGTCTAAACATGCTACTGATAATTTGATTTGTAGTCTGCTGTTTGTAGTGCACAATGCGCGACAGTATCATTCAATCAGATAAGTTTGAGAGTCATTGCTCTAAACGGCAAGGGTTCCCAATTATTTGTTTAAACATAGGAGACAAGGTAATAATGGTATAATAAACAAGGCACTGACACAAATACTCCGGTGTATTGTTTATATCCATAACAATTTATCCTCGTAACGAAATGCCAAGTCTAGGAAAGCTCGCTGTTTATCAGTGTCAGCATTTTAACGTGCTGGGTCACGTCACCACCTAAAGAAAAGGCAAGAGAAGGGATGCTAAGAGCATTCCCTGGTTTCGCCCCGACACCTGTCAGACTGTCAGCTTCTTCTTTATCCTTCTGCTCAAAGTTCTGTCTCTTTCTTACCTATATTCGCAATCAGCATACAATCAAATATACTACTAGTGTACTGGAAGTTATAGCAAGGTCTTGCAAGGTTGAAAGGTGCTGGTTCTATTCAACTCAGTTTCACATCAATTCCTTCCCTTAATCTGTGTCGCGTTGACTGGATACATACAACTTAACAGTATGGAAGATTGTCTCAGCAGAGTTAGTAGCTGAGCTATATGCATGAAGTACGTTGTGGAAGGATGGAGCAACGCTTTTGTCATTGTCTCTTAGGCAGGCAACAGCTTGGATAACAGACTGACTTCCTGATATAAAAGTTCAGCAATATTTCTCAGAGTTGCATGAGCTGGAAGTCTATTTGGGAATACCAGTAGAAGAAAAATAGTCCGATCAATTGCAGGATAACAAAGGATAAATCACACTGTATATGCTTACTATTCAAATACAGAGTTATAAAATGTGTGGAATAGTGCAAATTCTGAGGTTCTCGTGGCGATGAGGATAATGATGATGTTCTGGGTTTGGTGCCGTACAGACTCGTTTGTAGATGCTGACTCGAGCCTTGAAGATAGAGAAAGTATGTTTTTCCATATATTTGCATGTATCGACGAGTCTACACGTCGCAAAAAATGCAGAAGAATGACATCCTCATTTGTAGACATTCACTGCTTGTACAGTCTGAGGAGAATACTCTCTCGTAACAGAAGCTACAGTACAATATATTTAATTAAGCCGCCACAGACAGCCGACAAGAGGCGGTACCCCAGACTGGAGGTTAGGAGGTGTGGTATCTTACCTTAAAAAATACTGGCATATTATGAAATGTTAAACAGGGCTTCTACGGCTTCGCGTGAAAACTAATCCTTTCACTGGAAGTAATCACTAATTTACTATGGGTTGGTTTAAGAGACTTCTACTTTCATTCAGTCACGCAATTGCAATGGACTTGCGGGTTACATACCGCAACAGGCGGCCAATTTGTTGAATAAGTTAGAGATAATCAGCATCAGAGGCAAACGTGTCTCTTTGGATTTAGTTAGAATTGTAATCTATAGATAGAAAATTTTATATCTGAAACTGCAAACAAATATGTATAAATATAGGGCCGCGTAGTTCGGTAGGAGTTTACCGACGTTTCAGATGACTACTGTCTCAATCATCAGGGTAATATGCCTGAATGACTAAGAGAATCCACAACAAATCTCAGGATAGCTGAATACAGAGCCGAGATTCAAAACGAAACATCCAACATACGAAGTAAAGGTGTCAAACTAGGTTGAATTCAGTTAAATAAATTCAACTGTGAATAAGTCTGTTAACGTTCAATTGTGAAGGTGCTGTCACTTTGACCGGCTACACTAGCGTAGCCCAAACAAACGTAAACGACAAGCAATTAACAAAGAGAACAATACTTCGGGTAGAAGGGAAACATCTAACAGTCGACTATATGTACACTGGCTATTGTAATCCTGCTTTAATAATAATGTGTACAAGTCCTATGTGGCCCTCTGCTATAGAATCTCACAAGAGGTAAACTGCAGTTCAGAAAGAAAGCAAAGCTTGACTACTGTCTCAATCATCAGGGTAATATGCCTGAATGACTAAGAGAATCCACAACAAATCTCAGGATAGCTGAATACAGAGCCGAGATTCAAAACGAAACATCCAACATACGAAGTAAAGGTGTCAAACTAGGTTGAATTCAGTTAAATAAATTCAACTGTGAATAAGTCTGTTAACGTTCAATTGTGAAGGTGCTGTCACTTTGACCGGCTACACTAGCGTAGCCCAAACAAACGTAAACGACAAGCAATTAACAAAGAGAACAATACTTCGGGTAGAAGGTCCAATTCAAACTGTAAATACGGCAGCAATAGCTCTAGTTTGCCGCTTCATTATGGGGTTTGTATGAAAAGCAAATAGAAGTGTAATGGGTCATTGTTATTTACGTTATCACTCTGAAGAAATGGACAAAAGCTTTATATATGTATTCAATATGGAGTTTAGCGATACAGAATTTGTGCTACGTGAACCGTATGACCGTCACAATCCGAAGCTCTGGTCAGAAAAGATAAAACATTTGTAACATACGAGCACAGGGACACCTGTAGTTTGATTACAACAGCTGTATGGACAAGGCAGAAATACTGTCTGTCCACTTAATAGCAAAATCAATAGACTGACGGACTCGCACTTTTTAATTGAACACAACCGGCCTTTAAAATAATTATCAGAAAATGTAATAATACAGATTGTTATAAAAAGTTATTATTGAAGTTTATATTTTGACCAAAAAAAAACAACAACAACAAAAAACAAAACAACGAAGTTAAAAATCCCAGTTCTATTGCTGAATATTTCATATTTCTGGCTTTTCGAAATATTCCTTCAGGCTAAAGAATTATGATTACTGAGATGAAATTAAAAAGCTAAGTGTGAGAGTAACGACCTATCCATAGCTAATGTTATTAAAACAAGGAACGGGGAACACAAATGAGGCTAAAGAAAGAAGTGTTATTAATCAAGGGCTTATAAGTACTACTTCCCGACATTCATAATATAAGTCTATTATGTAACAACATAAAGACGAAATTGCACTCATAATTAGAGATTCACACAGTTGAGCCACATTACCAAAGGGTTTAGTTGTACAATGAAGTCTAATTAAATGTTGTTCATTCAAAATACAGTGGCGGAAGATGTAGCGAAAGGCAGACGCTACCAGCAAAAGAAGGGTATTAGAATGCAACGCGAGGAGTTCATTGGGTCCTCCTTTTACAAAAATTCTTATAGGTTTTTATTTTGTAACGACATTTTTATCAATTACATTCTTGTATTTTACAACACGTTTCCTTCTTCTCTTTTCACTGAATGAGTCCTTAAGTTCGCGTTTCTAATGCATAAGACACGGGAAAGATTACTGGCTGCTGAAATGGGTTACAAGTTGTAGAGATGATAGAAATATGTACGACTCGCTTAAGGTCTGCATCGCATTAAAAAAAGTATCGTTTGCTGCCGCAACAACTGAACAATGTCTCCTCTCCCTTTTGTTCACTAGCTCGCAAGAAAATTTTCGATTACAATTTTTGGTCCACTCTCTATTCCTTTGTCTTTACGTCTTTGCGCTATCATAGCAACAAAAAATAGTTTCAAACACAACAAAATCTGCATTAAATGACATCCCATGGACTTGAAGTTTTCCAGTTTAGAATTGTTTCTGTTTAATAAAGATTGTTATAGTAAAACATACTCTACAGTATATAAATTATACATTAATTAATGAACAAATTACAAATCAAATGTTCAAGTTATACTGTTTCTGAACATAATGTATTTTCTGTGTGTGTTGAGCTTCATATTAGTTCCATCCATTTTGCAATTTTTATTTGTCTTATTCCTATTATTTTTACTTCGAAATGTGTTTTCTGTGTGTGCTGAGCTTCATATTAGTTCCATCCATTTTTGTCACAAATATCTTAATGTAGGCTACGTCTTTGCCCTGCCACTGCATCATGCTTCTGTGAGAAGCATGACAATAGGCAGCTGTTACTTAAGGACGCTTTATCAGCTGAATATATTAGGTCAAATCGGATATATGTGAATAGTAATGAACAGTGAATGACGAGGGCGTCCGTGACATGTTTAAAATATGTAAGGTGGCATTCAGCTGAAGGAATTTACTAATACCCCCTCCCCCAAAGAAGGAATTCGTTGAAATAGTTTGGCTCTTGGGCGCTTATTTGAAGAGACATCTCCCGCATACAAATTAGATGCATTATTACGGAATATTAATTTTCTTAATTACCAAGCTTTTAACGTGGTCTCCGACTAACCAACTAATTGGATGACTAACTAATAGCTGATTAACTTTACGATTAACTAACTGGTAATTAACTGATCGAAACTGACAGATTGACTAATTAATT